AGTAAGACTACATTGAGGTGAAGCCGAGCACATTATCACATTTAGACTTTTCTCTGAATCTATTGTGACACTGTGGGATTCGTTATTCTTGTTATAAATCATCAGCATCAGAATTAAACAAATTTAGTTACATTTGAGGGCTCGTTTTTGAAATGAATTTACTTGCAAATAGAGGTTTACATTAACGATAGTGTAATCGTATGATAATGCAAATCTATGACGTCATCAAAACCTCTAATTCTGATATATATATAAATAACAGTATATAATGCATTTCTGAAAATTGAATGGCCATTAATTGGAAATAATTATTTTTTTTTCGTTTTTCGCTATAAAATTATTGAACATTGTACTTCTTACATTATTGGTAAATAATTTCATTTTAGCACTTCATCTATAAAGTACCATGACAAAATTATTAAGAAATATTAGATTGCGAACAAATACTAATGGTATGTAAGATAATTTTACAAGACAAAAATCGTTCAAATATACACACTATTTATGTTATATGATTTAAAACACATTACGTAATATGCTACGATATCCTCATATTATGACAAGCGACATTAATTATACATAAATACAAAACATTATTTCTAATAATATTACATACAGGGCAGCAGAGAACTTCACCTTGTTGTCTGGGATCCTAAATCTGCTTTAAAACTCAACACTTAGAGAAACTAATATTAATGTTAGAGCTTGTATTACTTCTAGGTCCATTCGTGTTGAGACACATAAAGTGCCCTGGCATGTATTTTTTATTATATGTGCTCTGCGTGTAACGAGTTGCACTCTAAATTTGACCACCAGGTTCTAATAGTGGAAAATTAAAATATATAGATAGAAATAGCCATGGGCTGGATATGAATTCTTTGAATTTTCGTGGTTAAAAAATGATGCTTGGGAGATCACACTTGAAAACACTGTTCATGAAACTTGTAGTGATTCAATTAGATGCATCTTATAAGTTTTGATACGCAGTTAATTATATAATTAGCATATTATCTTATGGGCAATTTATATGTAGATTATTTACATGGAAGACTGTTCCAAAGTGTCTATTATGCCGCTGGTTTATTTACAAATACACAAATCATGCAACCCAACCTGGTACACATTTACATTCAAGTTACCGGAACGTTGACAGATTTGTAATGCACGGTCATACTTATACATTTATTAAACGCTCTTCAAATAAGCTTTAAATGTCACAGTGTCATTCGTTCTTATACAAACATTTTTGCCCATGTGCCCTCCAGCAAGATTGAAATGGAATCCCAAAAATTAAGATGAATCACTTTTACTGCTGGAGAGGTCGTTTTTGTTTTAGAAAAAAAAAAGAAATTGTATGCTGTGAACCCCTGATTTCTTTCGTTTTTATGCATTTTTAGTTTATGTAATGTGAATTTCAATCTACCAAATTACACATAATTATAGTAATGTGTCAAGATCACCATACAATGTACGATTTTCTGTTGCGACAGTGAATAAGCACAACTAGTCGTGTCACAGCAAATGTTGTGTGCATCATTGTCATATCATATCGGCTTAGATGCACACTGCTTTTCACGCATTCAAAACTACACAAGTATGTAATCCTTGGAATATGATATCCAGTAGAGAAAATTGCCAACAACAATTATTAACATGTAAATATATTGTCAAATGGATGGGTAATTAGATACCGAACTTGAAAAATGTACGTTTATTTGATCCACAAGAGAGGTGTGTTGTTTTAAGATCCACGAACAGACAAGAATGTGAAGAATGGAGTGGCATCAAACGTATGCTTATTCATAACGTGTGACGAATGGCGGTTTTATTAGAATTGATTCACGGGATGTCATGGTTGTAATGCAAACTACTGATTAAATACGTTACCAGAAAACTGAGGGTTTCGACATGAGAGAGCATTCCAGTGAAAAACGTCAGGTTCCCGAAAGATGAACTGACATTTCTACATGGAGTACCGCTGAATCATCTTGTATGGGTTAACGTACGTGTGGCCGATTAAAATTCAGTTAAAGGGCGGTGGTCGTCGCTCTGCGTCCTGTTCGATATGGGACTCATAGCGACGTATACAACGCGTGTAAAATACATTGTTTATTCGCATGAAATTCGAACACACGCTGCGCGACGACCACCGCGCTTTAAAGTACTGTAATGAAACGGTTTTCTTTCTTTCCAGGGGTTCAATCCTCGGGGCGGACATCCTGGCAACCCGCGGCAGTGAAAACAAAGGCGCAAGACTCGCGGAAAACGGTACTTTGGGATGACTGTTGAGACTCCTCTGAACAGTGTAACAAGATTAGCCCTACGTGTGTAACATATATAAATTTGGTTGTTCAGGATTACTTCAAAGTTGAGTTTGTGGTGTTTTTTCGAATTTTCACCGGCTCGACCGGCGTTCCACAGCAGCGTGCACAGAGCCCATAGAAATGCATGTACAGTCGTGCGCGTCGTAGCAACGTGGATAGCCCTGATTTTTTAGGTGTTTACATAGTCAACATATTCACACGAGTCAGACTTGAATATGCACTAAACAAGTGACAATTATGTTTTTTCTAATTAAAATACCTAATGAGCATCTGCCATAATTTTGGATTGTTGGCAAACCTCTGTATCAGAGGAATCGTGGTACTAATGATCACAGCGCCACCACGTGACATAAATAACAATATTCCTCACTAGATACAGAGAGCAGTATTCAAATCAAAGAGAATAACTTATACAAGCATACACATCATATCACATTAATCTGCACACACAACAAAAAACAATAAATTCTCAGACAATCAGTAACCCCCGAAAATGTTACCTAATTTATTAAGGCAGGGGTTAGGATAATTAATTGAAATATTGAAACAATTGATACAGAACCACACCTAATACAAACCAAATAAGACAAATATTGTTAATAATAAAATTTATTGAAAAATATAGTCTTACATACAAACTTGAGTACTGTACTTTCCTGAATAACCCAACACCAGCATTACCATGAAATAGTTACATCTGTAGTTTCTTAAAACTCAAATAGAAAATTTGATAAGGTAAATTTTAAGTAATGCAGAGACTTGAGTAAAAGCATTAGTAACTTAAATCAGTGCAACTACAGAATTATTACTGCAATATGTGAATTGGAATCCTGTGTCATATTGAATTCATAATACCTAAGTAACTAAGACCAGGAACCAGACATTTTACAGAATTTTTTTTTTTATCTGTGTCAGAGGATGC